AAGCATGCATAATTCTAGACTTCATTGTCACTTAGTGCATAAATCACTTAGGCACAACATCTACAAAGATTAATGACCGGAAATCTGCGATTCTTCTTAATAATCAGTATGCGACATTCGTATATCTTGTCAATGAATAACACAGGTTCTTCAAATTGCTTGCATGTTTGGATGCCTATCGCTTAGAAATCATGTTTGTAGGTTTTATAACACCTATAATCTGTAAATCAGTTAATTTAGAACAGTAGCATCGCATATACGATATTGGAATTTAGAATCACCTAGAATCCATGCATATAAGACTCTAAGTCTCTATTCCGAAATTATGTACCGCTTAAACTGCCTGCGTGCATTTGCTTGTTTATGTGTGGAGGATAACTTGGACCTTTAACTGTCTTTATGTGAAGTCCTACATGTTTTGCTTGTCGCCTGGTTTTTGCATTTTTAGCAGCCTAGATAAAGTCTAGAACCATCCAAATAGAGGTCCAAAACCTCCTAGACCATAGGTATGAGACGGGTAGTGCACGCATAGGGTATGACTTATAATTGAACTAGTGGGCTTTAAGTAACAACTTGAAGATAGTAATGGGGTAGCAGGAGATGATAGTCTGTACCCACTTGATAATATGAGTAACACCCCATTCGGAGGGAGTTACGAAGTAATATTTATGTTGCATGGGATGATCCTTTAGCCTAAAAAACTTAGGACCCCACCCCCATCTTATTCCTATTGATCCGTAAGTCAAGTGTTGAAAGTTTGTTGATAATAAAAAAAAAACTTCCCGAACTCCTCGTTTTCTTTGTCTCCGTTTGTTTGACTAATTCATATAATTCAAGTTCGTCCGGGACCCACAGTTGTAGACCTCGAAGAGTGCCTAACACCTTCTCTTCGATGCAATTTCGATCCCTTACCCGATCTTTGGTGATGCAAACTAGTTAAAACAGAGTTATTTGCAAATAGGTGTCCTAACGCACCTTAAACCCGTTAGGTGGCGACTCTTCTTCTCTTTTAACACCTTCCTTAAAAGTGTTGTCACAACGTCAAAACCTGATTTTGCGAGAAAAAGGGGTGCGACAGTTGTCACATGCATTTTGGGAGAAGTAGCCAACCTACCCAAGTGTGAGAACTACAGTGGCTACGGCTAGCTACCCCACACTTGCAGGTATTCCGCGTCTTCAGATTTATGTATTTGGGAGTAGTAGCTAACCTCCCCAAGTGTAAAATCCATCAGGGCCGGGGAATGGGCCAACCATACTCACACTTGCAGATGCCAATGTTTTTTTCAGATTTATGTGTTTGGGAGAAATAGCCAACCTCCCCAAGTGTAAAAGTTGCTTGGGCTAGCGAATGGGCCAGCCATTCTCACACTTGCAGGTGCCATTATTTCTCCAGATTTGTGTTTTTTGGAGAAATGACCAAGATCGCCGAGTGTAAAAGGTGCTAGGGTTGGCGAATAGGCTATCCATCCTCACACTTGTAGGTGCCATTATTTCTTTAGATTTGTGTGTTTGGGAGAAGTGGACTGTGACGACCTGATAGGTCATTTTGAGTAAAAACTTTTATTTTCATGTTTTGAGACTCTATTAGCTCCATTTGATGTTTCTTGATTTGTATGCATGGTCCATGTTTCCGGAAAGTTTTTGCGTCAAAATGTGAAGAAAAAGTGATTTTAAGCTTTAAATGGGACTTGAGCTGACCACGATCAACATTCTTGGTAAACGAACTCGGGTCAGTGTTTTGATAATCCGGTAGATTCATATGATATTTTTTGACTTGTACGAACATTTGGTTGGAGTCCAGAGTGACCCGAGCGCATTTCGGCTCATTATGTAAAAATTGTAAAAATGAAATTTCAAGTTGAAAATCATGAATTTTGATTATAGAATCTTGTTATTTTATGTTATTTTAATGTTTTGAGATAAAGAGAAAGTTTATATGATGTTATTACACTTGTGTGCATGTTTAGTTTGGAACCAGATGGGCTCGGGTGAGTTTCGATTGCGTTACTGAATGATTTGGAACTGCTGGTATGCAACAGTCGCTGGTTTCTGATTTGAGGTCTTGTAATTGCGAGGACCTGTTCACAATTGCGAGTCTCGCTTTTGTGAAGTTGGACGCACAAATATGATTATAGGATGGGGGTGGTACTCTTTGCAAATGCGAATATTTCTGTCAAAAATGCGAGGTGCGTGGTCCACTTTTGTGATGTGTAGGTCGCAAATACGAGTGGAATCTAGGCTGGACAATTCTCTCAAATACGATGACTCTCTCGCTTTTGCGAGGTTGGGTTCATAGCACATGCGATATTTTGTGTCGCAAATGTGATACCTGGGGACTGTTGGACAGTTCGCTTTTGTGGACAAATGTTTGTATTTGCGGGCCTCGCAATTACGGGTAAAAGAGGATTGGATCATTTTACACCATTTCTCAACCCTAAACACCCTAGAGGTGATTTTCTTGAGAGCTTTTCTTCCTAAAATCATTGGTAAGAAACTGTAATCCACTTTCTTTCAATTACTCATTACTTTTTATGAGTCTTTAACATCAAATCTAGAAATTTCATGGTAGAAATTAGGGATTTGGGTAGAATTTGGAGATTTTGTAAAATTGAAATTTAGACCTCAAATTGAGCCTGTATTTTGAAACAAATGCATAACCGGGCTCGGGGATGAATGTGTAATCAAATTTTGGTTCGGGTCTCGAATTTTGACCAAGCAGGCCCAGAGTTGACTTTTTCAATTTCTTCGAAGGTTGAACCTTTTTCATTCGTAGGTAGTTTCTAAAGCTTATTTTGAATTGTTTGAACGATATTTGGCTACATTTGATCAGCTCAGAGGCTCGTTCGAAAGGAAAATTCGTGGTCAGCTGTTGAATTAGTTCACAAAGAGGTAACTATCGTGTCTAACTTTGATTTGAGGGAATTAGGACTTGTTGGTCTATCTGTTACGTGAGTTATGTCTGGGAATGACATATATGCAAGGTGAAGAGTGTATATGTGTTGTTATGGGTTTAAGCATGCGAGTTGAGTTATTTATTTATTATTTTCAATTATCCCATACCTTCATTTAATCCACGTTATTATTTGTTAAATACTTTAATTGTTACTTGTCTTTACTTGTTAAATTCATGCCTTTACCGTTACATGCCTTACTTGCTAATTGTTTTCATGTATCCGTATCTGTATTTATTGATTGCCTTTATTTGCTTTGTAACTTTGTGTGTTGTTAGATAGCCACTTTTATTCTGCTTTATGTCTTTAATTAGGTAATTCTTTTATTGTATTTTATTTTAATCACGTTGTAGTTTGTCGTAGACAATTTATTATATTTATATAAATGTTTATTTATGGATCGGATTGCACACCGCAACAGAGAAAACTTGTTATTGATATATGTGATTATATATCGGGTTGCGTGCCGCAACATAGTATGATGTGTTGTAACTGTCAGATGTAGTAGAGTTTATTCCGGTACTGCAAGATGAGTATTGAGATCATGTTATTCTGGGTCCCTCTGGTAGTTGACCTTCGGGTCCCTTTATATGAGTTTATTGCTTTATCTATATTTCTGCACTCTATTGTTATTTTTCGTCCAGGTTTATTGTGGGTGTCCGCTTATAGCCTCGTCACTATTTCGTCGAGGTTAGGCTCGGCACTTACAAAGTACATGGGGTCGGTTGTACTTATGCTACACTTATGCACTTCTTGTGCAGATCCTGGTGTTTGTTGTAGCGGTGTGTAGAGGAGTTTTTTCCCTGATCAACTTGCTTAGGAGACTTGATGTGGAGTTGCTGGCGTTCGCAGTCCCTGAAGTCCCCTTCTATCATGTCTTTACTATTTATTTTTAATTCAAACAGATGTATTTCATTCTGACTTTATTTGTAGTACTCTAGTTGCTCATGTATTCGTGACTCTAGATTTCTAGGATATCTTTAGACCGCGTTACGTTTGTATTTATCTCATCTATATCAGATTATTGCAGTTTCGTATTATTGAAGCTCTGCTTTTAAATTGCTAAGTTGGCTCTCCTAGAAAGTGGATATTAGACGCCATCATGACCCCATGGTTGGAGTTTCGGGTCGTGACATGGTCAAGCTCCCCAAGTGCAAAGGTTGCCAAGGCCGGGGATTGAATCAGCCATCCTCACACACGCATGCACCATTATTTATTAGTTAAAGTTCTCGAAATAAAGAAACTCAGTTATATTTGGTTATTAGAACTTAACTCATATTTCATGTGACTGATCAGCTTTCAGATTTCATGTTATAGTCCAGATTTTTGGATTTCAGATTTCATGTTACAATTCAGCTTTCGAATTTTAATGTTAAGTTATTAAATTGCTTGAGTTATATTTATTACATCATTATTATAATTGTTAAGTCCAGAAAGGTTTTCTCCTCCGGTTAGGGGAGAGTAAACAATACTTACTAAGTACCCTCGGAGATACTTAGCTCGTTTTGGACCTGCCCCGTCGTGTGCCATGCGCTGAATGTGCCGGTAACGAAGCTTGGGGATAGAATTACGCTTTCTAAATTCAGCTCACAAGCTCCTTTGATTTATTCAAGCGATAGCAGATCTCTTCTCAGACTTTTATATTATTCCAGGGGAAAATCCCGTTGACTTGTGCATTCAAGCATCAGTCAGAGGCTCATGACTTTTAGTTGTCATACATCAGTTTTCAGACAGTTATTATCTTAATATTTATTTATGATTTTTCATGGGCATGATTTTCTGTTTAAAACTTCGGTTAGTAATTAGAACGGTGCTTGCTCAACAGGTAAGATAGGTTGAGCCGTCACGTCCCACTTCCGATTCGGGGCGTGACAATATAACAAGAGACATGTAGCTTTTGCATGACGAAAAGAAAGAAGACATGTAACTTTTGAAAGTACTCTTAAATAAATTGACTTATTTAAAATTAATTGGACATTTACGCTAAAAGATTTTCCAAGTTGATAGTAGTTAAAAAGAAAAATAGAAAGAACAAAACTACCAATTGGATCAATCAGAACATCGAACAAACTTAACCAGTTTGCATTTCTTGAGACACAGAATAAACCAATAGAACATGAGTTCTTTATCAAACACCAAACACGAAGCACCAAAACCAAATTTCCTAAAACAACAAAGGCTTGGAACCAAACAATTCTAGCTTATTCTGATCATATCCTAACTATAGTTACCACCAGTACCATAGCCCTGGTTTACCCCACCACCTACATGGGTGTTATGTGCAGCGGAGGCCCTTTGAGTCCCAGTGGCCGTTCCAATGGGGTGAGATTGCACCACCCCGTCTGTCACTTGACCCATTGGCTCCCCAGTGCCGTGTCCTGGCAAGGCAGACATCTGGTGTGCACCAGTTGAGTGTCCAGTGGCACCAGTGGCCGAGTTGGAATAATGTGGCCTGCCTATGCCCGTGCCCCCACCCTGGTGAATAGCTGCATTGCGGTCGTGAGTTGCCTGCTTGTTCATCTCTGCTTGGTAGATCCTTTCTTCCTTCTTTCCTGTTGCCATCTCCTTCTGTGTTGGATCATGGGCTGTCATTCTCTCCACCTGTTTGAATACGGGACAGACTTACGGTAAAATGGTATCTCTCTAGCTACACAAAGATGAACCAACACTACATCGAAGCGAGTTCAGAATTTAACTTTGATATGTTTCATCTTTAAGGTTCTTAGCACGACACTCGTTCTATAAGTTCAAATCTAACATTGACATTAAAATTTTGTTAGATTTTCACATATATAGCTATGCTCCGCGACAGAAATACTGAACTCAGATAGAACATGAAAATACTAAATTCAGATTAATACGTTGCTCAAGAATCATAACATGATATGTTTTGGCGCCATCGACAATGCTTGAGTATACCTCTAATGCAAGTACCAGTTAACTCTATTATTCAACATTTAGGCAGATTATCTAACATTTTCGTTTTTATAACTAAGATCTAAACACCAGTCTTCCCTAAATTTTCACTCACTTTATTGAATGCGATACCAAGGTTTCACTGCAAACCTAAGAATATGAATATGTTTTACAAGAAAAATTACGTACAATTTACGCTTTATGATGTTAATGGAAATGAAAGGGGAAAGAATAATAAAAAAAAACCTTCTCTTGGACAACAGCTTTGGTCTTTTCCATGCCAGATTTTGCCGAAGCGGCCACGTTAGAGGCTTTTTCCTTCACGGACTGCATTTTCACTCTCTTTTTAATTTCCTTCTAATTTGCAATTCTCAAAAATAAAAATTCTGCAAAATGTACGAAGACAGTTATTTGCGTTCAATTTATGGAAAGGACGTTATGTAGCGCAGTTTAAATAAGTTAGCCTAAGGTTAACTGTATGCCACGTGTCTTAATGCTGCATCTTGTATTATCGACCTTCATTCCGCTTTTGACATCTGTTAAGACAGGTGTTGGTTACATCACAACGTTAGCAAATCTATGCAGGCTTTTCCCGCGGTTGGATAAAATATAAAATTCTGACAAACAAAATATACAAGCGTTTAATAATAAATGAAAAAATAACACCTTATAGTCGCCGTAAAATAATGGTAGAAAAAATATATATACTATAAAATATGTATATTTTTTATAGGAGTGTACATGAACCAGATTAGTTTAATTTTTATCAAAATCAAACCAAATAACTATATCGATTTGGATTAGTTCGATTTTATCGAATTTCAAATTTTTCGAATTTTTGTTATTCAAATAATATTTCAATCTTACTTTATTAAAATTTTTATAAATAAGTATATATTTAGTAAAATTTTAAAGACTGACAAATATATTATCTATTACAATATTCTTATGAGAGAATTTCTTAGTAACACATGATAATTATTTATAATAATTTTAATCGAATTTAGTAACTAAACATAAAAATTAATATAATACCTAAATAATAATAACCACTTCAAATTCTTTAACTTCAAATTCGAAAAAGAAGAACCAAATATATGAATCGCATAATAATGCATATGTCATATATTTCTGGCAGAAATTTTCTGCTCTGTGTAAATAGGAGGAAATATTTGTTAAAACATAACGTGTCGATTAGTTATGTATCGAATATTTTTGGGAGAATTACACTCCTTGTCACTTGGCCCAACAGTCCATAAAAAAATGGCCAATATTTGAAGCCCTTATCTAATATGGCCCAGATTGTACATAATCTGAAAATTATTTTTCATCAATTAGTCCACCCTATTTTTTTCTTTTCTTCGTTCTTCTTCTTCTTCCTCTTTCACGACTTTGCACCCTAAAGTTTATCTATCATTATATATATTCTTCAATTCTCCTTCCAGATTCAAAGTTGATAATCACTATTAAGATGAGAAGAAAAAATACCACTTAAGAGAATTATTGTTTTTGAAGTCACCATTAAAGGTCATTCGAAGCTTCAATTTCAGAAATTGAATTTTTCGATTTTGTTAGATGTTTGGATTGGGTGTTGGCCCAATTAATTGGGATCGTTAAGGGAAGTTCAATACCCAAATTTGAAGTGATTTGGAGCAGATTTGAGGTAGATTTGAATAGAATTTCAGAAATTAAATTTTTCGATTTTGTTAGTTGTTTGGATTGGATGTTGGCCCAATTGATTGGGATCGTCAAGGGAAGTTCAAAATTCAAATTTGAAGTGATTTGGAGCAGATTTGATGTAAATTTGAGTTGAATTTCAGAAGATGACCAAAGAAGAAGAAAAATCAGTAAAGCTCCATTAATAGGATTCATTTGTATAATAGTGTATAATAATGTATAATATTGTATAAGTAATGTATAATAGTGTATAAACACATCTTATACATTATTTTATACAAGGCTGATACATTATTTATAGGTATTTGGTGAATTTCTCACATTTCTTCTTCTTCTTCTTCTTCTTCTTCAACTGCTACACCTATATACGTAGTGTATCACTAATATTTTCACTACTATGCTTATACAGTTTTATATATATATATATATATATATAATATACCTCTTTGTATAAATATTTATAATATTGTATAAAAGTGTATAAACATCTCTGACGAATTCTTCAAGTACTATTCCAAATCTCCACTAAATGACTTCAATCTTTGTATACAGTCTACTTAGACTAATTTAATAAGTTGAAACAATACCCACTTCAAATTTCTTATAAAATCATATTCAAAAACTAACAAGATTAGTATTAAATAAGATAAGATTATAAATTTCTTGCGTCTATTTGTGAATTTTCTTAATTGTGATAAGTATATAAAAACTTGAGAAAAAAGGAGAACGAAAATATTTCACGCTTGAAAATATAGAGAATAAAAAAACTGAAAAAAAAGTTCAAATCTATGCTTACTAAAATTTGGATACACATTTACAAGTTATGGAGTGCATTATTATGTAATTTTGTCAATATTTTTTTCACATCATCTATTCTGAATTTATTCCATATTCAAATATATTCTGCTATCCATTCCATTCTTGCTATAAATTAATATGACAACGGTCCATGTTCAACTTGTTTAGTAAGATCTAGTCCGGTGTTCAGAACCAATTTAAATTTCGTGTTATCTCAGTTGGAAATCCACATATATAGATTACTGGGCGAGATTGCTTCGAGTAAAAATAATTTATCCGTCACCCATATATATATATATATATATATATATATATATATATATATATATAGTATGTGTGTGTGGGGTGTGTGTGTGGGGAGGGGGTGTGCGAGGAAGATATGTGCGTGACACCAGATGCACGTACATTCTTACGCTTAACCCCTTTTCGCAGATTTATAGGAGGATACGGCAAAAATCGAAGCCAAAAGGAAAGAATTAATAGACAAAATATAGACGAAGACACAGAAAGGTCACTTTATTTATATAATTTGGTGTCATCGATCATAAAAGCCAACACCAACATCCACATACAAGCGGGACTGTAACCCCTCTAACCATACACCAAAAAAAAAGAAGCCAAATTACATTAATGAAAGTTGGAGGAAAACCCAGAGCTTCATTTGTCTAAAAGGTAGAGCCAGTTCCATAACCAGTGCCAGTTCCTCCACCAACATGGGGGTGTTGAACTCCATGTCCTGCAGCTGCATTGTGTTCTTTGGCCTCTCTCTTTTCCATCTCTGCTGCAGCTTTCATGTCCTCTTTCTTGTCCGTCGCCATTTCTTTCTTCAGTGGATCCCTAGTAGTCATCCTCTCCGCCTGCTCATTTTTAAGAAACCAAAACTTTCTACTATTAGATACTCTATATAATTAAGTTCAATAATGCAGCGGTTTTTTTATGGTAATGGCAATATCAAAATAAAGAAAAGTGTAGGGAACCTTTTCTTGAACAGTGGCTTTGGTCTTCTCCATGCCAGCCTTTGCTGAGGCTGCTGCGTCCTTTGCTGACTGCATTTTCTTCCTTTCTTCTCTCTGATAAGATAAGACTGTCTTTGTTCCTTATTGCGTACTTTCTCGTTGTTGTTGTTGCAAGATGAGGGAAGAAGTCGAATTTGCAAAGGGTTTATATAGGAGTTGGATGGAGAACCAAGTGATGCCACGAACATAACGTAACTGTACGCGTGGAGAGTCGTGAGATGTAGCATTGCTCAGGTTTTGACACGTATGCAGTAGTTGTCTAGATAAGCATGTTTTTTTTTTTTTTTGGATTTATATCAACTGTTCAGTGGTTGAAAAATACTTATATACAAGTATATATCAGCTCCTCATTGGGATTAATATATCTCCGTAGCGAATCCAATTTCGAGTATCAAACTTGTTAATTTTAATTGTATACGTATTTGAATGTATTTTTAAATGATATAATTTATATATTTAAAAAGTATATAAAACATAATAATTAATTATTTAATATATTTAAATATTATATTAAAAATTTATGATCAAAGAATAATTCATTTGGTCCCGAAAATTCGAACGCCACATAATGAAACCGGGAGAATAATATCATTTATCTGCGCGATCAGCTTAAATAAATTTTGGAGTGAAGAAAGTTAACTAGACCATTTTAATTTTTTTTTCTCTTTTGGATGTTTGTTTTAATAGGTACTATATAAATAATATGTATATATATTAGGTATAATTTTATTACTTTCACGAAATATTTTAAACCTGTTGACGATATACTAAAGTCTCTTCTATCTGAACTTTGGGGGTGGTACTGGTATATAAGTTTGTTGACTAGAAAATACGGAGTACATTAAAATTATAAAATTTAGCTCCTAAAAAGTGCGGTTTACCCTTAATTTCGGGACTGAATAAATAGTACAACAAAGAAAAACACATTAGGTCTCCACAGATCTTGCTGAGATGTATAAGATTTCTCTATTTTTTTTTTAACCGTACCTTCCTTTGTCTGATATAAAGACAACATGTTTTCCTACGTAAAGTTTTGATTTGCAACATAATAAATAGTCTCTAATATATCAATTACTTCATTGTCATATTCATACGCGGTTCAGATTCCCTCATATTTTTGCTTCCCTTACTTTAGTTCACAACAAGGTTGGATCCTTCTCCTAACATAAAGAGAATTGAACAAAATTTCGACCAACGATAGTCTATTTCTTTCTATTTAGAAATTGATCTTGATATAATTTCTGATAAAATGCAGAATGATAGAATAATTTCACCTAAAATTTTCTGACGAGATGAGATAGATGATGATGAAAGGGGAATAAAATAATTAATGGTAATTAAGTGTGGTAGTATTTCAATATTTTTGTGGACTAGTGGGCTACATAAATAGTTATGTGGCTTGATCTCCTTGATGCTATAGCCAAGTGTATAGGAAAGTTTTTGACAAGTAGATGAACACTTTTATTTTCTTACACAAATCTTACAACTATAAATACTCACTTCCTATACCATCCGAAAACACACCAACAAATATTTAGTTCTCTCATGATTACTAATGATTAGTAATCATCACTACAAGCCTTGTAATTTTCAATTACTCCTAACCTTTTGTGTGTTCCAATTTCTTTTATAACCTGTGTTTTATTTGCTCATTCCGAACTTGCTGGTATTATTTAATTTTGCTGATTCCTGTATCCTCTAAATAAATAGAGATGGGCTTGTTTATTAATCCTGGGGAACATTTCACATTGCTGAAATAGTTTCTTAGGACAGTGCCTAACACGACTCAAGCCAATTCGTGTATCCGCTTACAAATAATATTATTGCAGTATTATTATTATCGGCATTTTCCGGTGTCATTTCCCTACAATCTAAGAAACTATGGCAAGTAATACTACTGCGAAATTTTTTGATGGTGCT